GGCAGATAATCTCAGTCCCAAATGATCATCCAATGAGACCACGGCTGCACGATCCTCCTTCAAGTCCCCAGTCTGCTGACTCTCCAATATGTCCATCATCACCTTCTATAAAGGACTCAGCACCAGAACCAATGGAATCAGCAGAAGGATCAAGAAATGCAGAACGATCACCTATTACAACCAGATCCGGGCGACAAGTTAAAAAGCCCCAGAGACTCATTGAATCCTGTTAGAGGAGAGATGTTGTAATATTAACTTGTGGGTACCCCTCTGTGGAGTCCCTTACATTTTCGTGGGCCGCCCCACATCTCGCGAACATGAGAGTTGGCTTATGTCGGACATTGTGCTGACAGTGTTTAACGTTGCATTGAGTATTTGAGCCTTATCTAAAGCTATCTTACAACATCCTGTCAGTCACTGCAGTTTCTATCTCTTCCCAGGATGTAAAACCCATCCCATCTTTTATTTCAATTTTAGGTTCCACAATTATTTACAGACAATTTTGACTATCAAACAAGAGATGACTTTGTGAGAGGAATCCTTGTCAATGAGGAGGTATTTGAAATTCAATTGGCCACAATTTAGAGTAGTAACATAACATATTGCCTTCTAGCTGCCAGTACTGAACAGAATTCAATCTTGTTATATTTGTACTCCTGAATATATTTGACATCTGTTATAAAAATAATTAATGACTGACAACTTTTCAAGTCATAAGGAAAAAAATTAAAGGAATTCTAGGAGATTTGTACAATCGTGGCAAGGATATCAAGGGAGTGTACAAGAAAATGACCAGACATTTCTTTTCAATACAAAAATGACTAATCAAGGATATTTTACTTTTGGTTTTAATTTCTTCAGATAATGGGCAACCAAATTCATTCATTTGTTATAAGTGACAAGTATGCTGCCAGAGTGTCTAATCCCTACATGTATGACACAATCAGGTGTGTAAGTTACAACTTTCAGTTGATTTCACGAGCTTCATTTTAAACTCTTTGTGTTTAGGATGTGACCATAGTAAAAGCTAAACCTGCACTCTGGCTTATGCTACTAGAACTTATCCCTAATTTCTGTAGCATGAAGCAACTTGGAATATCGAGTACTTCTCCACCTGTATGATATGCTGGTCCATCACTGGATAACCCCCCTTCAACATTTTGTCTAGTTGAATGAACAGCTTGCCCATACTTATTCATACTCCTGTGTGGAGATACATGTCTAAGTGTGGAGCTAAAAACACACAAAACAATGCTCCTAGGCAGCTGGCCTGGGTCATACCAGGGTGGTTTAATCCAGAGTCAGATGTTCATACCTCTTACTAACCGAGTTCGAGGGCTGTACTGTAAGTTATAGATTGAGTTTTTCCCCATTGATTTATGGCCAAAGCACAAAGCATGCGGGCCATAAATTGAAGGGGAAAAATGAGGATCCCTAACTTATCGTATGGACAGAGAAAACGAGGTTAGTAAGATATTTATTAAATCTCTATGTGTGTCTGACAGGTTCAGGAATGATTTCTGTTCACGTGGAACGGCTTCAAATTTCTGACGTACCTCAAAAGCAAAATGAGTCAATTTGAAATCGTTGTTAAGTGACTCTGAAGTCGTTAGCAGGTTTTAATACACAATTTCGAAACTAAAAAACGTTTTAAACTTTTACTTGCTAAAAAAGTTAAGAACACTTGGGAATAAATCACAAAACATTTTGGCAACAAAAACAGCTTTAAATTTTAGCGGGCTGTACAATAGAATACAGCCCACTAAATTGACCAATTACAGCGAGCATACTAACTGAAAGATATAATAATATAGTACACATTTTCAAAGAAATCCCAATTGAAAACAAAATGCTTCATTTACACAAGTTACCAGCTGGTGCCTCAAAAGGTTGGTGGAGCCAGGCAGCGATTGCGCACGGGGAAGGGGGTGTCTTGGCAACCATAGAAAAGGCCACCACCATAGGCACTGTCACACTGAACCAGTCAGTTGTCACTACTTACTGAATCCAATACTTACCAAAGGGAGGGTGGAGAGGGGAAACAACTTGGGAATTCTACTGTAGGCTAAATTGGACTTACTTGAAGGCCAGCAAGTGAGCAAATGCAAATTCACACAACAAGCGAAAAAGAATTTGCTATAAATTACTAACAGAATCCATGATTACATCAACTATTATTGTCTCTTCACAGGTACTAATTAGGGACATGCATGTGTAAATGTTTGTTATTTCTTCTCTGTAGCAAAGACATTCTCAGTAGATGGGCATATCCAATAGTCCCTGATAACAGTGTGTTTTTCATGGACTACTCCTACTCTTTCACTAGACACAATGTCTACCTTGACAGTGAACTCTCACTAGCTAGGTGAGTGTTGCTACAATGTGCTATTATATAGATTACATGTAGTTTTTAATTCTGCTACTTTGCATGATATGTGCTTTTCTATGTGTAATTCGACTCACTGACTCACTTTATAGGGGAACAAAAGCACTGTTGAGAACTTAATTTGATGAAAATGTTTTTGTTTTGCAGGACAATTTTTGCTTGTTTTTATTGATCAAATGAATAGGAATTCATTAAATACAGTTTTAGGGAGAATAAAGCAGATTTTACATAATCCTTTACTCTTAGCTACTACCCTAATTGTTGGTAAATAATTATTGTGGACTGGTTTTTACTGAATGTTGTACCTCATGCAGTAGGTTTTAGTATATTGTATTACCATCTTGTTATTTTGAACCATTTATTTTTTTCCCTTTTGCAGGGATTGCAAGTTAGAGGAAAATCTTTTAATAAGTAAAGGTACTTCAGTAGGTGCTGGCACAGTCATCACTAACTCTGTTATAGGGAGAAACTGTGTTATAGGTAAGGAAGAAGGTTTTGTTATATTTGGCTTGTAATGTGTCAGTTGTCTGAAATAAAGTTAATTTTTCTACTAACAGTAAACAATTGCAAGCTTGAAAAGCCATGTATATCTTTTATCAGCTATTTATTAGAGATCAAGTATTTCAGTTTCTTGCCAACACATTTTTGTCACTTTCTAACAAAGCAACCAAGCAATGTTGGGGGACCATAGTGACTTCTGTGTAGTTTTAAGATGAAAACAAATTTACTAGTTGCATACAATTTTGGAAAAATAGAAAAAACGATCTCTGGTTAATTGTACCAGCAAATCCTCAACTCAACACACATGCATTTTCCAGGTGATTTTGTTCAACTTGATGGTGTCCATCTGTGGGACAATGTCAAAGTAGACGATGGCTGTAACATTTCCAAGTCAATTCTGTGTAAAAATGTTCATATAAAAAGGTACAGAACATTTTCATTCCATCTTGTAGCACTTACATAAACACTTTACAAAAGTCCATAACCTTGTAATGCCCTGTTAGCAGTTACCTAACTTATTTGAATAAAGTGATACATGAAACCTCATAGATGCCGTATAGCTATCTCCACAGATGTCTGCATTTTACATGTGCTCCTGCATGTGTCTGTAATTGTAATGAAACGTTGCTATTTTAAAAATTAGGTATCTTGGCTTGTGCTTTTTATATACAGTAGATACTTGTTTAAAGTTCTGTTGGAACAATTATTCTCTTGTTTATTGCATTTGTAGGAATGTTACAATTACAGCTGGATCAATCATTTCATTTAATGTAAGTAATGTTTAAGTCCTGCTCGGATAAAAAAATTAATGGTTCAACATGTTTGCAGCCTTCCTGTGACTTGGCTGTGGCTATTATACCCACTGCAAATTTCTACGTGATCGGGCAACCAAAAAAAGATATTTATGTCTTTTGTGATTTTTTGTTGTTATTCTTATCGCTTTTGGTGCAAGTATCATCTTTGGACTTGTTACCGTTTTTCAGATGTATTCTTTTGGCATATAACAGAGGACATTAGAAGTGAAGTGTCAAGTCAATAGAAAACAACAACAGTATCTTTAGTGCCAACCAATACATGTTTTGTTGATTTTCAGGTTGTGGTTGGGCCTGACATAAGCTTCCCTCCAGGAGTGAAAATCACGCTAAAGAAACAAACAGAAGACGACTCAGATTTTGGAATGGATGAACTCTCTCTTGTCGAGAAGCCCACACTTGAGCAGCAAGATGGTTAGTTGTTCTACTGTTTTATTTTTGGTGATCAGTGATAGTGGCTTGCAAAACCAGGGTTTGATTTAAGCTCTCGTTTTTGTTGCGAAGTGACTTCACTTGTATTGCTGTTATTTATGTCAAATAGACAAATCATTTATCTGCATGATCATGGCAATTGTCCTACATAGTATTATGTTATTTGTTTGTAGAGTTTAATCCAGAGGAGGTAGGCGTTGAAGGACAAGGTTACATATGGAGACCAGTAGCTGAATTCGATGATGAAATGGAACAAACTCGAGATGTTTGGGGTAAGGACCTGTTTAGTCTATTTGTAAGTGTGCTGTGAGAGCAAGGTTCTTCCCTAAAAAATACCAGGCTTAAGACTTCAAGTCGAGTAGTGAAACCCTAGATCGAACCGGGATCAATGTTTGCGTTACTCTGGTAAAAGAAAATGGTATGGACCGAGTTTGAAGAGTGCGATGAAAAGGAGCGAAAACTTGACTTTCTTCGCGAACTCAATGCATCAGGGGCTGACTTACTTTAGGTTTTTTTATCTCTTCTTACCCCCGCCCCCTTTCTATTTTTTTACCCTTTAGTCTCAGTGATGGGTATATCTACCAGGTTTTGTTTTCTTGTGAAACCAAGGAAATAAATAGGAGAAATTGGCTTTGGTACATTTAGCAAAGGTGCAGAATTGTATTTGATTATTGAAGCATAGTAAAACTAAGATGTAAGTGAGCGAAGCTCAAAGCAATATGGTGGATTCTATTTAGGTGTGGACAGAGTAAGTTTAAGTGAGGAGGAAGTAAGCTCAGTATCCAGTGAAGAAGAGACTCCACCGTGCAGTCCGCCACCTGAGGATAGCAGATGTGAGTACTAGACAGTAACACGAGGATGTAACGAGTGGCCTGAAGTGGAGGGTGGGTGGGGTGGGTGGGTGAGTGAAGCGAGAGGTTTCAGAGTGGAACGGAGTGGCATGGTTAGCGAGGAAGGGAATATTCTTCACGAGTACCTTTTTCGTGACCTGAGAACATTGTAACGTCTTTCCCCTTTTTATCAGTGAACTTAGAGTAAGGCCACTCGTTGTTTTACGTCAATAAGAACGAAGAAAGAGAATAAAAGTGGTGATAAGAAAACTGTAGGTTTGTTTTTCGCTCTCTTTCTCTTGTTTGTCTTTTGTTAAATAATCCTCCGAGAAAAATGGGAAAAAAAAGTTTCCTGTGTATTTTGTGTTTAAGTTGCTTATGTTGTGGCATACAAAGACTCACAGTGTTTCTGTTTATTTTTTCGCATGGTTGTTTGAAGTGTTCTACACTGAGGTACTGGAGTCTATAAGACACGGAGTAGCTGATCATGTCGATCCCGAGAACATTATACTGGAAATAAATGCTTCAAAGTAAGTGAGCTTAAAAGCAGAATCATGACACTCCCTTTAAAGAAGTTCAGTCACGTTATTTTGTGTTGTTTTGGTTGTGTACGGTATTATCTTTTAATTGAAGGAAACCTGAAAATAATAGTTTGCTAAGATAGAAAAACACCAAAGAGATGAATATAAACCACAAAGGAACAAGGTTGGTTAAGGATGGAGAAGATCGATCAGGATTACTAACGACGAACTTGAAAAATCTAGGCTAAAGTTTTCAAGTTGCGCAAACCGTGACGCAGCCCCTTTAGGCTCGTTGGCTTTTAAAAGCACTGCTTGTTTTTGTATATCATTAAACAAATTGACGTCAGTTTTTCATGCGTCTGTCCTGTTATTGATCATGACTTTCGTCATAACATTGTCAGAATTTTCTGCAGTTATCGTAAAATTACTTATCGCGGAAATTATTCTTACTATAGGTTTGCGTATAACGTGACCTTCCACGAACTAAACCAAGCGGTCGTGAAGTCTTTACTGGAGTCCTCTCTTCACGATGTTTCTTTATCCAAACAAGACTTGTCCAAGAATCTTAAAAAGGTAGTGTTTATTTATTGAACCGTTGGATGTGTTTAACAACATGAGAAGACTTTATGTACATGTGTTAGTTACCCATCAGTTGTTGTTAAAATATCCTTGAGAGAGATCAAAGGAGTCTTTTTGTACGTTCAATATACTCCTGCTTTCTTAGAGCTTCACTTCACTTGACTAATGGAAGAATTTTACTTCCTTTCAGGCCGTAGATTATCTTCTTCCTATTATTTCCAACTACATTAAGACGTCTGATGGCCAAAGGGACGCGCTGAATGCCTCAGAGGTCAGTTTTTTTTTTTTAAATTATCGTTCTCGTTGCTATGGTACTATGGTTTCCTTTACGCTTTGTTTAAGGTCGTAATTTCGCTTCCATCTAAAAAATCCCCACGGTTGCAAATTAAAAACGCAAGTTGTGTTGCTATTCGACGGAAATGTAAAGCCCTGTTGAATGTGAAAGTTATTCTAGTGGAGATTGGCAGAGTGCACGTGTGGAAATGTTAAGTATAGCTGATTTTGGATTCTAGTGAACAACATTTTCCTTTCTCTCGCCTGGAAGAACATTCAAACTATCATTTTTCTTCACTTTTGATCAGGAATTTTTCGTGCAAGCAATGTGGGCGGCTCCACTTTGTCAGACCTTTCTCCACCTTTTGTACGACAAAGAAATCCTAGAGGAGCCCATTATTCTTCAGTGGTATTCCCGCACGCACGGGGAAGGAGAGGACAGCGGCTTCGAACCACAACGTAAACAACTGCGACAACAGGTACGTCACTCTTGGCACGTGAGCAGGTATGTCAGCATGTCACTGCGTCATAGTGTATATGTCGAATTGGCATTTTTTGTTTACTGGGTACGGTTTTTCCCACGAAAGCCGCGGTGTGCTGGGATAAGAATCCTTGTTGTGCCAGACGTTATTACACCTACCTTATTTCACGTAACGAAACACTTTGCTCTGAAATTGCTCAGTTTTAGTCGGCAGATTAGGTCGCGATTTGGTCTTATTAATGATTGTAAACGCAGCAGTAGTGTTGTAACGTCAATTGTCTTCTCTTTCGTTAGATTTTTATCTTTTAAGACCCAATACAAATTGTGGGATTTTTTTTCAAAGCTCTTGTTCTGTTATTGACAGATTTCTCGCTTCATCACGTGGCTACAAGAAGCAGAGGAAGAAAGTGATGATGATGATGATGACGACGACGAAGAAGAATGAATCAGTTTTATCAATTCTGTTCTAGAAGATGTGTTAATAAATAGACCTTTTACTCTTATTGCCTAAATTGTCTGTTGCCGCTTCAGGCTCGTCCAGACGTTGTTTATGATCCATTTCCCGTTTGTCCTCGCACAGCAATATAAATTCTTCAAAACGACTGCTAGTTTGGTGGTGAGAGCAATCGCTTCCCACCAGTGTGGCCTGTGTTCAAATCCCGGACTTGGCATCATATCTTTAATCTATTGTTGGTCCTCGCCCTTTGCTTAGAGGGTCNCCCCCCCCCACCCTCT